CTTGATAATATAGGACTATTCTGCTTCTTTTTTTTTTTTTTTTCCTTTTCAGGAAAAAATCTCTCGAAATATCTTCATTTCCCCGTCAAAAACTTCCAGCTTAAGGAAAAATAAAATTATCCAAAAAATTTAGAAGCTTGAGTTATATCCTAATTATGTCCTTGTTTTAATCAAATTTTAATTTATGATTTGTCTTGCAACTAATTCTTGTTAATAACATCATTTTATTAAGCTTTAAAATTCAATTATTATGAGATGACCATGCAACATCCGAATTTTTTATTAGCGACTTAAAGCGAAATAGTGCCCCTTAAGAAAATAATCATAATATTGTGTGTATATTTGTGATAAAAGATAGCAAAAAATCACACTCACAACGTGAATGTATATTTAAAAATAAATAAAAAGACAGTAAAATATCAAGAAAATAATCAGAAAAATCTAATTAAATCTTAAATATATCTCAAATTTCTTTTAGTTATCTTAAAAGAAGATTTATATATCTAACAGGATTGTCTTAATAATAACATAGATAACATGAGAAAATTTAATTTAAATTTTATAAATCCTAAACAGATTATATTAGTAAAACACCCCAAGTTCTCTTTCATCTTTTTTTTTTTAATTGGATCAAGAGTATCGCTTTGAAAGATCAAAATACAAGGAGTTTTCATCTCTCCCAACAAGTACACTTCGCAAGATTCTCTTTCGTCTTTTACTTCTTTATTTTCCCTCTCCTTTCATACCCCTCTTCCCTTCTTAGCATCACATACGGCAAGTATTCTATTCAGGTATAATAGCGTGCCTCCTTCACATATTTGTTCTTTTTATTATTGAAAGCTAATGGCATTCCTCTTGGCACCTTTCTCACCTTCACTATGAGTGAATTTCGAATGTTCATATTGGTTTATATATGTGTGTTAGTGTTTAATTCGGTGTGTGTGTGTGTGTGTGTGTGTGTGTGTGTGATCTTTAGTGGAAGGAGGCACTATATGTCAATTCATTCACATATACATATCAAGGTTCCTCTCTTTTGACACATGCGCGCTAATATGCACACGTACATATATTACTGTTGTAAAAACTTCCTCATCCATTATAATGTTATGGAGTCTTTGACGTTAACTTTCCGCGTCTTTCTTTTCATATACACATACACTACTTCCGGTCCTTAATATAAAAGCTTGTTTAACTTTTATTTTCATCCTAAATATAAGATCCCAATCTACTTTGTCTCTCATATTTATCTAATTTTTTTAAAGTAGTCCTTGTAATAATGGTAGTTTTAGCTGATACACTTGATTAGTAAGGATATTTAAGAAAGACAACATATATTTATTACAAATAACTAATTTAACTAGTTTTTCTTAATCTACTCAAATTAGTTAACTAACTCTTATATTAAGAACCAGAGATAGTATCATAGATTCAGTTTATATGTAATTTATTCCTATTATGGTGAACTAATTAAGTTATAAAGGCATATGGATTTGAAAGATGATTTTAGATTTCTTGAGATGGCTTTCAACTCCTAGAATAGTTTTAGAGAGTAACCTTCTGATGAATTTAATAATAATTACAAAATCTTAATTGCGAGAATTTAATAATAAATTATTTTGGGTCATCTAGAGTAACTCTAAGGTTGTTTTAGAATAATCTTAGACTGGTCCTAGGATAAAGTTTTAGTGGCTTTGAGTTATAAATTAATGCTCTATGAATTTCTAGTAATTTTTTCTTAATTAGGAGGCTCTCTTCTCGCATAGAAATCTTTTCTAAAATTAGGCTGGCATCAATCGAATAAGAAGTTAGATTACTGTTGCTGATCATTATTTAAATATCATAACAAATGATATTTGTAAGGCTTTATTCTTTGCATTTTGAAAGCGACCAATCGCACCAAAGATGATGTCTAAGTCAGCTCAGCAGCATGACAGTTCTACAAGTAGAGAGAATGTAAGTTTGAAGGGATATATTATAAAGGTCTATGCCATGAGAAAATGTTTTCGTTGTTTTCGTTGTTGATGGTATCTTCCTAAAGAGTCTTTTCATGGAATGTTCTGTCTTACTGCAATTGGAAGACGCCCGAGGTCGGCATATCCTATTGCCTGAGGATATTAAGATTATCTTGCACACGTTGGGGGAGGAAATTCTTAAGAACTTGAGTGAAGGAGCATTGGAACCAGCAATTTTAAACCTCCAAGTTTTAAACTTATCCAATACTCACATGCGAAATTTATATGCTGTAATTACCCAGGCTCAAGCTAAAAATTGAATGTGGAAGGTTGTATGCTGGAAACACTACCAGAAGCAATGTTTGATCTCCTAAAGCTTGAAACTTTGTCTTTAGAAGATTGTTCGCAATTGCTGGAATTGCCGTCACGGATTGCTAGACTTGGGAATCTTGAAACATTGAGGTTGGCAGGGTGTGAGCGATTGGAGAAGCTCCCACAAGAAATTTGGAAACTCCATAACCTTGAGGAGTGCGATATTTCTGGCACTCAGATTGCACATCTTTCGGAATGTTTGAATCTTCCCAAACTTGGAAGATTATTGTTGGGAAACAACCTTAATTTGATGAAAATTCCATTCTCATTTTTTGATCATGTGCCTCTGCTTAGCATCCTGGACTTGTCATGCACGAATACATGAACTCCCAAGCTCAATTTTCAATTGACAGAAGCTTAGAGAATTTTATCTAAAAGATTCTGAGCTTTTTTTCTCCCACAAGAGGTTGGTCGACTTAGTAATCTCACGACACTTGATCTTGCTGGCACCCTGATCACACATTCGCCAAAGGAGATAGAAAAGTTGAGCAATTTGGAAAGCTTATTTCTCTCATTTCATAATGATGATTCTAGGTGTGCAGTGATTCCTCTTGATGTTCTACCCCAGCTCGCTTAATTGAAAGTTTTAAAAATTGGTATTAACTCCGATAATGAAGGGTGGCTCCAGAACATTGAAGACATTCTTGCAGAAATCAATGGATTAGAAACGTTGCAAGCATTGGATGTGTATATCCCAAGAGTTAATTTCTTGAATCCTAGAGAAAGGTGTCTGCTTGATTTTAGATTCATCATCGGCCACCACAAGCCAAGATTGGTATCACATGTAGCGACTGCTATTGAGTTGATAATTAAAGAAAGCAATCCTAACTTAAAATTTGTATACGTCAAGTTTTTCCTGATGAAGTCCATTTTCTCTAAATTCTGCGCATTTTTCTTGGATCGCCACATGACCATCAACAATCTCACCCAATTTCGGTTGGAGAATCTGAAACAACTAGGATTATGCAATTCTTGACCATATTCTACATGAAAAATCTGAGAAGCATCATTAACAAGTCAACTCTTGGCAATTCCATTTTTTGTGAACTAAATTTATTATCATTGCACACTTACCCTGAGGTAACCACCATATTCACCATGTATTTTTTACACAGCCTTGTCAACTTAGAAGAGCTCATAGTTGAAGATTGTCCCAAAAAATAAGTAGCATCATAAGCTGTTCATTCTTTAAAAAACGAACAACAAATATTTTCCTCCCTAGATTAAGAAAGTTGTCACTTCTCTTTGTACCAGAACTAGCTAGCATTTCAAATGGAGGGTGCATTGGGAGAAATTTAGAACAGACAGGACTTAATTATTGTCCAAAACTCCAAAGTCTTTCTCTTAGGGCGTGTTTGGTTGGAGGGGAAAGTAGGGGAGGGGAGGGAAAATAAGCCCCTCCCTCATTTGGTTAAAAATTTTGAAAGGAAGGGAAGCCAAAATTGCCCCTCCCCCCCCCCTCCCCTCCCCTCATTTTAGATCCCCTCCAAATTGGGGGTTTTTGAAGGGGAGCTAAATTTTTGGATCATCATACCCTTATGGTTTTTTTTAATATTCCACTACTACCCATAAAATATATTATTATAATATTTATTTCAAATAAAAACTATACTATCCTGGGTAAAAAAATAAAAAATAAAAATTATTATAATTAAAAATATATTATAACAAAAATTAATTAAAAATAAAAAATTATAATATTATAAAATTAATTTTTTTATAAATATATTTTAAAGCTGAAAAAAAGGATAGCCTAAAGAGAATAAAATTTCATTTTTCTTAGAGCATATAAAATTTGTTAATTTGATTATTCCAAATATATTACTATATTAATTAGAATAAAAAATTACTGTACCAATTTTTTAATGCATATATTAACATGATAAGATTGAATTTTTATTAAATTACATAATTTAAATTAAGATGTAAATTAATTTATATAATATATCAATAAAAAATATAAACTAATATGTAAAGGTAAAATGATAAATTGATTATTACTATCCCTCCCCTTCCCTTCTTAAACCAAAATCATTAAATATCCTTTCCTCCCTTCCTTTTTAATCAAACCAAACAAGATGAGAATAAAAGCTCCCATCTCCTTCCCTACCCTCCTCTCCCCTCAAACCAAACAGGCCCTTACAAAATTGTCAAGCAAAAAGCTAAAGTAATAAGAGGAGAAATGGGATGGGGAAAAAAAACTTCAATGGAGTAGAGCAAAATGGGAACAAGAAGATGCACCTGATGAATTCAATAAAATTTTTTCTCCAATTAATGAGAACCTTCACATCTTCACTCAATTGACGACATATGAGCTGACAAACCAAGCCCTGCATTTTGAGAAAGTAAGGAGAGAATTTTGTAGAAGAACCTAAGATCTTGAAGTTACATATACAACAAATGATCATACTTGTATGGATGATAGCAAAGTTCAATGTATAACTAAAAGGTTTATACCTTTAAGCGAGTTGTGCTGAGATATCTAACAAATTCTTTAAATTAAGTTTTCTCCCTAGCTAGAATGACCATATTCGATATTGAATGCCTGATTCTTCTGCATCTGGGGATTCAACAGATGATGTTACTTCACTTTCTTTCTTTTTTTTTTCTTTTTTTTTTGGTTAAAGGGCAAGATGAACTTGCTAAAGAAAAATCAGTACAACACAACAACTACATTTAAACCCTATCTAAACGTAGGCGATCAAAACATCCAGGATGGGGTTCGTTTAAAATCTTCATGTCCTCCACGATGTGATGTGCTTCTCTTGCCAGAAAATCTGCACACTGTATGGACTCCCTAGGTGCATATCTAAGTTCAATTTCCCAATCAGAGAATATCAGCCTCCTCCCTTCAGTGATCTCTGTACTAAAAGGATGGTGTCCTCCACTGTCTATCATGAGTAGGTGGATAGCCTCAAGTGAGTCGGTATAGACCAACACTTTGTCAAAACCTTGTTGTTTGCAGATTTGAAGTCCAGTGGTAATCCCAATTAGTTCTGCTATGGTTGAGGGGACACGTCCAAGTCGTTTTTGAAAACCTGTAATCCAATTACCGTTCTCATCTCTTATGGTTCCACCACATGCAGCTTGCTGTAGATTCACCGAGCCATCTGTGTCGAGACGAAACACTCCCGTTGGCGGAGGTGACCATCGCAATTCCTGTTGGTTGAGTTGGAAGATTTGGTGTTTGAACTTCCCTTGATCCGTGTATTCCATTAGTAAGTAGCAAAAGTGTTAAGGATGTCCTGTGCTGAAGATCTGTGCCCCTCCATTACTCCTCTGCATCTATTCTTCCAAAGGATCCAACAAACTGTGCTGAAAGTTTTGGCCCAGGGCCAACGGGCAAATTAGTGCTTTCCCAGCTCTTGTGAGAGGTTTCTCCTTAGCCAGACCTGCAAATTCAAACAAGAATAAAAGTTTTCCAGATGGTTAGGTTTAATAATTTTGTTCCATATATCTCTCGCTATCTCACAATCACGCAGGATATGCAAAGTGTCTTCCTCTCTTTGACACTCAAAAGGGCACTCAGCACTCGTGTTTATCCCTCTGCTGGCTCTAAGAAGGTTGGTTGGTAATCTCTCATGAAAGGCCTGCCAAAGAAACATTTTCATTTTCTCCCGGAAGTTTCCACAATCTTTTCCACCAGATGCCTTGACTTTGGTCATGTTGGTGATTTATCATTTGATATGCAGACTTGACACTGAAGTTCCCATCATTACTACATCTCCAGATGATTTCATCGTCTAAGTTACCACTAGGGGGCTTAGCATTCCGTAGTATGTTGATGACCCACTTTGGAAAGAAAACCTCCCAGCACTGTATGTTCCACGATCCATTGCTTCCAACAAAATCTTTAACTCGTGCACTAGGATTTATTAAATGGAAGTTTCTCTCGGCTAAATGGATGAGAGGTTCCTCCAACGATGACCATTTCTCCCACCAAAACAAAGTGTTGTTTCCACTATTTATATGCTTCCCAAGCCTTGCATAGAATTGATCCCACACAGATGTAATACTACGCCATATTATGGAGGAGTTTGGCTTTTTGATCACTACTGGGTAGTCACCGTCTCCACACCTATATTTCTTTTTGAGGCATTGAACCCATAAAGCATCTGGCTTTGTCATAATTCCCCAGCATAATTTCATGATGAAAGCAATGTTTTGGTATCTTAGATCTTTTATACCCAGTCCCCCCATTTCTTTCTCCTGTTTAATTTTCTCCCATGAAATCAGATGCATTTTCCTTCCCTCATGGAATTGATTCCATAGGAAATTCTGGCTACATTTCTCTATCTCCTTTAGGATTCCTATAGGAAGCAACATGGTTTGCATTTGGTAGCTTGGCAGCGCTGAGATTACCGATTTGATTAGAATGGATCTACCAGCCATTGTCAGAAAATTTGCCTTCCAACCTGCTAATCTCTTTTGAACCTTGTGTATGATTGGGAGATGTACAGCCTTCGTCAGTCTTTTATGTAACAAAGGAATTCCAAGGTACTTCCCCAGGTCACTAGTTATACCAATGCCTAGTTGCTGGCTCAATTCTCTTGCCCGGTGGAAACTTACATTTTTTTGAGAAAAAAGCCTTTGACTTGGCTAAGTTAATTCGGTGACCTGAAGTATCAAAAGGTCTGCATTATATCACGCATCACACTTATCTGATCACTTGAGGCTTCTCCAAACAGAAACAAGTCATCCGCAAAGAAGAGATGGGAAATGGTTGGTCCCGAATTACTCAATTTTATCCCTTTCCAGTTCCCCTGTTCCACTTCTCTTGAGATCACTTGCCCCAATCGCTCCATGCATAAAACAAACAAATAAGGACTGAGAGGATCACCTTGCCTTACTCCTCTTGTTGGTTTGAATGAGTGTGAGGTCACCCCATTCCACACAACTTTCATAGAGGCTGAAGAAGTACAAGCCATGATAAGGTTAACCATGCCCTCTTTGAGACCTAAGGTAAGTAGGGTTTTCCTCAAGAAACTCCAATCTAGGCGGTCATAGGCTTTTTCCATGTCAACTTTAATGGCCACAAAACCTTTCCTTCCTTTCTTATTCCTCATAGTATGGATTGCTTCCTGAGCTATGATCACATTGTCACTCCCTTGTCTTCCAGCTATAAAACTGCATTGTTGGGGCTGCACAAGGTAACCCATCACCCGTTTGAGTCTATTTGTAATGATTTTGGTTATGATCTTGAAGCTTACATTGCATAATGATATCGGTCTGAAATCTGTTAGTTTTTTAGGGTTGTCCACTTTGGGAATGAGAACAATATGTGTTTTGTTAATTTCACCAATTTTTTTTGGATTCTCCCAAGCCTCCTTAATAAACCTGCATATTTTAAGGCCAATAGTATTCCACTAATTCTGGAAAAAATGAGCTTGCAAACCATCCGGTCCTGGTGCCTTGAAGGCACCCATTGTGAAGGCTGCGTTTTTTATCTCTCCTTCAGTTACCCCTATGTGTAACAGCTCAAGATCCGTGTCTGACAAAAGAGGAAAGACAGTGTCCCAATCAAGGTTATCATTAACAATACAGTCTTTTGTGTAGAGCTTTTGGAAGAAATCTCCTGCCATTCTGCACAACTCCTGTTGGTCAGTTATCCAGGTGCCTTCCTCATTCTTTAGAGCCTCCACAAACTGTCTTTTTCTTTTCAATTTTGTTGAAGCATGGAAAAAACTGGTATTTTTATCTCCCCATTCCAGCCATTTGCATCTTGATTTTTGGAACCAGAGGAGTTCTTCTTGTGCCACCAGCTTATTATAGTTTTGCCATAACTTGCGTTCCAGTTTCCATAGACCATTTGAGATTTTATCTTTTCTTGCCTTATCAATCCCTTCAAGTCTTTTTAAGATCTGTCTCTTCCTTGCGGGAATATTGCCAACCACTTCCTGATTCCAGATCTTGGCTTTAGTTGCAAAGTTGCTGATTCCTTCACACCATTCTTTCCCTTCCCATGCTTGGTAGACTATGTCAGGAAACCCCTCCTCAAGAGCCCAGGCAGGCTGATAAGTGAAATATTGTTGTGTGGGTCTGCAATTATGGTCCTTACCTCTATCAGAGACTACCACTACCCTGTGGTCAGATTTATATTTTAACGTGTGGTAGGCTTTATAATGAGGAAATTCGAGGTCCCATTGAGTATTGCTGAAAACCCAGTCCAGCCGTTCTTTCACCTTTTTCTTTTCCCAAGTAAATTTCTCCCCAACAAAAGGCACTTCCAACAAACCTATTTTTTGAATGCAGTCTCCAAATTTCTTCATTGATGTTGTGTGTGGTGGGGCTCCGCCCATCTTATCTGAGTGTCGAAGAAAACAGTTAAAATCACCCAGGATCAGCCAAGCTTCGTTAGTACTCTCAGCAATACATCCCAGACTTTGCCAAAGTAACTCTCTTCTCAAATGAGTAGTCTCTCCGTAAATAAAAGTAGTAACACAAGATTTATTTCTCCTCCTGTCAATTAGCCTACAATGTAGCAATTGTGTGTTGGAGCATATATAGTCCACTTGGGTATCCTCCTCATTCCAAAGCAACCATATACCTCCAGCAAAACCCGTAGCTTCAATCCGGATCCAATATGAGAAACCCAATCTTCTAACAACTGTTTCTGCTCAATGACCACTTATGCGAGTTTCTAAAAGGCACAAAATGTCAATTCTATTTCTTCCAACAATATCTTTAATGGTGTGTGGAAAGCTTCTACTTCCAGCACCTCTGCAATTCCATGCGGCAATAATCATGATGGCAAAACAAGAAGAGGGAAAAAAGTAAAAGAAAGCTTACTCGACCAATGTCGCCTCATCCTCCCAGATCGGGCATGCTGTTGATACAGTCATTCCTCTGTCATTGACGGCAATAATTTGGTCTCCTGGCTTAGGTAGACAGTTTTTGTGTTGTCTACTATGCATCACTAGAATCTTGTTATCGTGGAGAGTATTGCATGGTGAGGAAACTCCAGATTCATCGGTGATATTCAGTCCAGTGGTATTCATTGGTTGTGGCCCTTCTAAGTATAGGATGGTTTTTGCGTTTTCCACCTCTACCATCATCTCGTTTGATCGGTCCACTTCTGAGCCCATATTCTTTAAATTACCTCTAACCACAACATGTTCCCTTCGGCCCATTGACTTCTGGCCCTGTCTGCTTGTTTCTGCTTCGGTCCTCTCATAGGACATATCCTCTTCTTGATTCTCCGTTCTCATTTGGGCCATCTTTTGCACTACTAGCCCATTAGGGTTAATATTGCCTTTCCCTAAATGTCTACTCACTTCTTTGCCCTTTTGATTTCCCCTCTTACCGCCACTTTTCTTAGCTTCCAGGGCCGTCTCTGTCTATCTTATCTGATCCTTCTTTTCCTCATAGATTACTATTCCTCTCTCAGTTCTTTTCGGGTGACTGGATTCTGGGATTTCACTAGCAATCTTGCTCTCTGACACCTTTTCATCATCTTCCATTAGCTCTGACAGTGGCCCGAAACGTGATCTTATACTTCCTTCCCGTTGTTTTCTAACACCCTTAGGTCCTTTCCCTGCTCATCTTTTGTCTCTCATAGGTTCTCTCCTTGGAAATCGGGGTTTATTGTTTTTTCCCACTATCATCCACTGGCCAAACTCTTCATCGGCATTTGTGTCCCTCTTCTCTGGCATCGTTCTTTGCATCACGATTTCCTGGTTTTCCGATGATGGTTTTCCCCCACTCTGTGTTTGGGCGTAGCTCCAGGGGCAATTTTCCTTCCTATGCCCGTACCTTCCGCAAGCAAAACAAATCAGGTTGAGCCCTTCATACTCCACCATATACACCACATTTGCTGCTGCCACTCTTGGGACCAGTTTCTTTTGTAGATCTAATTCAACACAAATTCTCGCATACTTTCCTCTTTCTACTCTTGACGTCTCTTTCGTGATGTCCTCCAGGGTGTTCATGTCGACTTTTAGAGTTCTGCCTATGTGATCACCCAGTCTTGCGATGAAGTCTCTATTGTAGCAGTGCATCGGTATGTTTGGTATTCGAACCCATGTCACAATACGCCTCAGCGGATTGTTATAAGCATCAAAGTATGGAGTCCATTGCTAGATCAAGACACTATGCTGTTGAACCACCCAGGGTCCCTCGTACAAGACTTTCTTGTAGGTGTCTGCCCATCTTTCGTTTTGTTGAAAACGGACTATGAAGTAATTATTTGGGATATCGATTAACTCAAAATCCTTCTCGTTCAATCCCCAAATCTTGCTCAGGTGAGGTTTGAGATTGTAGACATTGTACCTTCGTCCTAAGACAGTGACGACAAGGGCGGCGTTCCATGGTTTGCACCAGTCGCTGTATTCTTCAGGCGAGATGGGAATCACGAGGCATTTTTCTATTATTGCTCGTAGTTCAGGGGAAGGTTCAGGTATTTCCCATTCCCTGTTTAGGACATCCGATAGTAGCTCATCCTCCTCCATATGGCTGTAGCTGTTGGCAATACCGTTGAAACCCAGCAGTGAATCTCGGTATGATGGTTGTTTCGCTTCGACATTTGGCTTGCTTTTTCGGTGTTCGCAGTCAGACTCCATAGCAACCTCTTCTTCGTTTGAAACTTTTTCCGTCATAGCCGAGTCCGAGATGGTGATCTGGGAAACAGGGGAACTATTTGCTTGGGCCCCAACATTCTTCGTCTTCTTCTTGCTCCCACAAGTCAGGGCATCTGAAGGTCGATCAGGTGGCATCTTCCGGTGACCGTGATCGTCCATCGCAGGCAGGAATGGAGTGCACGCACTTCAAGAGAGAGAAAACTTAGAGCCAACAAGATGATGGTCATTTGAATACTTCACTTTCTTTCTAAATGGCAATATGTTAGTGTGTGATGGGATTGTCCTTTATATTGTTCTATGTTAACAGACAGAAATTCTTAGTTGTACGTATGTGAGTTTATATTATATTATTGTGACTCTAATTAATTGGGAATCAATTTTAATGCTCATCACTTTAATAGGCACCCTAAACTCATCAGATCTAGAGTGTCTATATTTAATTTGAACGATTCAAATTTAAAATATTTAATTAATTATTTTTAAATAAAAAACTATTTTTTGAAAGAATGATAGTTAAGAAATTATCTTTATTTTAGATTCTATACATATTAAAATAATTATTTTGAATAAATAAAAAATTAAATCTGGACCATTAAAATAAAATATAGATGATCCATATATGATAAACTCAGGGTGCTCATTACTTCCGAATTGATTGTTGTTTTTTTGGCCGTTCAACGCGTAACGTTACGTTCTTCATTTTCTTCATATATGGGATTTCCTCAACATCATAGGGGTAATAAATGCGATGCAGCAAATAATTAGATGGGCATATTGCCTTTGTTTTTTTTCCCCCCACCCCTCTCTCGGACTTGGATTCTCTCCACTTCTTCTCCCATCCTCTTTCCCTCCACTATCCTCTTTGGCCCTTTACAACCATTAGATCAAAACTTTAATGATTCAGATTTAATATTTTACAATATTTTATAAAAATAAATATAATTATAAAAATAAATAAATAAATTTAAACTATTAAAATCTAATTTGAACAGCTCATATCTACAGATTATTATTACAGAGCAAATTTTTTTCAACTTTTTTTTATTATAGTTATTAACTGTTTAGACCATATTTTAACAGTTTAAATTTATTTATTTATTTTTTTAATAATATTATTTTTATAAGATATCAATCTGAATCATTGGAATTTTGATCCAATAGTTATGAAGGGAAAAAGAGGATAGTGGAGAGGAAGAGGATGGGAAAAGAAGTGGAGAGAATCCAAATCTCCCCTCTCTCCATATATTTTGTTAGCAATGGAGCACATAAAACCCCGACAGCAGTCAGAACCAGTTTTGGTGCTTATCACTTTGATAAGCAGCCTAAACTCATCAGATCTAAATTGTTCATATCTCATTTTAATGATTCAGATTTGATTTTTTTTTTCAAAATATTTATTTTAATATGTATAAAATCTAAAACAGAGATAATCTCTCAACTATTATTTTTTCAAAAAATAATTTTTTGTATTTAAAAATAATTAATTAAAAATTTTAAATCTGAATCGTTCAAATCAGATATAGACGATTTAGATCTGATGAGCTTAAAATACTCATCAAGATGATGAGCACTGAAACTGGTTTCATAGCAGTGTATTTTAATCGAGGATTAGCTTTGACATCATAGATTCCTTCTCAACAGATTAAAATACACAAAATCCTTCTGAATTTTGAGCTAATTGCACATCACTTTTTAACATATAAGGATTTAAATTAAAAGCTCTGATATCAACTCCCCCTTAACTAACATGTCATAATTTTTATATATTTTATTTTATATATATCATATCATTTAAAAAATAATATTTGACATTTGATGTTATTTTATGTCAATCTTGTCAATGTCAATGGTATTCTGGGATTCGATGTCAAACAATAATATTTTATGTCAGTTAAAATCTTATCATGTTTGTATTAACCAAAAAAAACCTTGTCATGTTTCCAAGAGGAATAATATACATATATATATATATATATATATATCTCACAGGTTATCTAGAGGGGAAAATAAAATCAAAAGCCAATAAATCTAAAAAATGAACAACAAAGATAACGTGATTTGAATATACACACTGTAGCAACAAAGCAATGGGAGACGAAAGTGGAACAACATATCCGGCCTACTTAATCGTTGGTTGATCGGATCCATTTTTGCTTCAAGCCGGCATTACGAGATTTCAAGAGAAAAGAGAATCAAGGGGTATTCTGGTAATTTCACACCCCTCCCGGTCATGCCGGCTCTAATACTAATTATGGGAATTTAAGGCCGTTAACGGTAAATATCTTTGTCATTTCCTTTTAGTGCAATTTCCCTATACTTTGGACCTCCTTCTTTGATTGGGATTTTATACTTCGATTAGATTAGATATATACCACTGAAAAAGGATGCATAGAAAGGATTAGACTTGTTTCTAGTTATTAATAAAATGTTTCTTTTGCTTTTTACCCCTTGTCTGCGGGTTCAGCTAGCGAGAAGGTCGGACTCTCTCACCAAACAAAAGGAGCTTAATTCTGGGGAGTGCCACTTTGTCATGACTCTAGTCACAGCGCTAGGAGAGGTATCATCGCAGCATAGTGAAATTGGAAGATCCTACCTATTGGGCCAGAAAAAAAAAAGGCTTGTTTGTCATACTCCAATGCTTGTAGGGATAGGTCCCAGTAGATCAAGCGTTAAATATCCTATTTTTGGATCGTGGATGAGCCAATCCTTTTCCTAAAATCCTGTTATTAAAAAAAAAAGATGCATAGAAAGAAGAAATAATAATAATAATAATAGTAATGGTAAACATTTCTAGTTTACATTGTGTTCGGCATATTATTAATATGGAACGAAAATTTTATATATTTTTTACTCATATGGTCCTTAGTATAAGAACTATTTAATTCATTTGATTACATTAAAGAAGTTACGTAAATTAGTTGATTATAAAAAATATGATTTTTTTCCTAAAACATCATAATCATCTTTCGTATTATCCTTCCTCCTTTTTTTACTTAATTATGGTTGTACGTAAGTTAATTGATTATAAAAAATATAATTTTTTTCCTAAAACATCATAATCATCTTTCTTATTATCCTCCCTCCTTCTCCTACTTAATTATGGTTGAGGGAGCATACATACGGATAATTTAGAAAAAATTGATAAATATGAGAAATAGGTTTTATATTTAGGACCAAAATTAATTTAACAATTAAGTCATATATTAAGGACCAGAAGAGTATTATTTAAGTAAGTAAAATGACCAAGATAGCCCTTACATAAATTTTTACACTGCTTCAAGTTTTCCCTTTCTCTTACATTATGTTTGGTATGGGTTTTTTTGAAAGGAGGGGAGGACTCCCCTCCCCTTGTTTGACTAGTACATTTTTTAAGGAAGGGAAGGGAGTTGCTTCCTTCCCCTCGTTTGGTTGAGATATTTTTTAAAGAGGAGAGTAATTCTCCTTTCCTCCTATTTCCTTCTAACCCCCCTCCAAAAATAGAGTTTTTTTTTTAGGAGAGATGAGATATGAAAAATAAAATTTTATACTCCCAAATTAATCTGAGTAAAATATTTTAATTGTTCTCTTGCTTTTTGGAGTTTTCAACCCTCTTGTTTTTCTATACCCTAATCTGCTATGCCCACACCCTAAGAAGTTGCCGCCGCACAATTGAGTCTATCAATCGTCATCTTCTTCTCAACTTCAAATAATAAGTAGTCATAAATAATTTTTATTATGGCAAGTCAAAGTTGGTAAATTGTATTATACGTATTTATATCTTGACAAAATAAAAAAGTAGGAAAATTCATTTTAATTTTATAAGATTAAAATAGTCAAATTTTGATTAACTCTCCTCCCCTCCGCTTCCAAACCAAACAAGATATCATTAAAATTTCTCTCATTCTCTCCCCTTCATTAAAATCCCTTCCCTCCCCTCCCCTGCCATACCCTCCCCTCTGTAGCTACCCTCTTCTTTCTTTCTCTCCCCTTCCCTTTATTAAAATCTCTTCCCTTCTTTTTCCTCTATCGAGCCAAACACAACGTTAGGCTTCATCTAGTCAGTGCTGGTTATAGTTTTCTTCTTCTCCTCTATTTGCAAATCTTAAACAAAATTTTCTAATCCCAAAATTCTTAATCAATGGTCTAGCCAAGCATGAAAATTTGAGGAAATGCAGAATATAATAAAGCATCTCTCCTTGTTTCTCTCTATTTCTCCAACTTTTGCCACCATTTGTCTAGTAGCGGGCTTTGTGGAGGTCCTTAATGATTTTGTTTTGTTTTTGTTTTTGTTTTGTTTTTTTTTGGGTGGGATTTTGGTCATTTGGTAACCTTCATTCCTCAGGTTCATGGAGGGTTTGCTCTTTCCGACATATTGACGGATGAGTTTCCCTCGAGAAATGCTATTGTTGAGGAGCAACAACCCACCCAAAGTGTTAGAACCAAAAAGCGATTCCATTGTTTTTTAAATAGAATAAAAAGAAGGGAGAGAGAAAAATGTTTCAATTACATACATGGCTTGCATTGCTAATAGTGGAGTAATGCTTCTCTCTATTTTTACTAGTGATAGATTTGAAGTTGAAGCGTGTCAATTTTTCAAACCGGCCAATATCTCTCAATGTGGTACCTATTTAAAAAAATTGATAAAGATTATCTTTGCTTATAGGGCATCAAGTTATTGGGATATCAAGTCATTCATATCAACGGATTGGAATATGAATTATGTTCCTAAATAGAGGGATTTGTTACTAAATAAACGTCTCTTAAAACAACTTTTTCCCATTTATGCAGGGGTTAATAGAGGAATTTGTTCCTAAATAAAAAATCTTAATTTACTTTACTTTTTAAATTTATAATTTTTTTTTCAAATTATCCCCATTAATTGTATTTATTAAGAAATTTTTATTAAGAATAGTTTCTAATACAAATGATTAAATATGTATTTATAAAACTAATAAACATTTCTTACAAATAACTATTTTAACTAATTTTTTTAATATATATATTTACATATATGTATGTAAATATGGACACACAAACTCAACTCAGGTGCAGATGATTATTCTCCTTGAGTTATTATGAACTGACGGTTATTTTCTTAATTATCGAAATTTAGAATCAGAGGAATATCATCCTCAGTCGTAAAGGCATCAGTTTCTTGTACTCAATCCAACTGTTGATAGTTGTTCTCCTTTTTACCTTTTTTTTTTTTTTGTTGGGCCAGTTGCATATTAGGAGATCTTGCTTCTATCTTAGATTTGTTGACAATTATGGAATACAAAAGATGTACTTTTGTATCTTAAAAGAAAATCTTCTACGATATGTAGATTCACATTAGATGACATTAGTATTGAGTTACTTGTTTGTACATATTGCTCTCCTCATTCTCTACGTCATCAACTCCGTTTTTTTTTTTTTTAATGTGAATCCATTTTAGCATTGGCGAGGGGTTTGAAATTCAAAAGATTGACTAACAATGCAGTCACTAAAACCATCAATCGCATAGGTGATAATTAATTAGATTATAAGCCTATTCTAAGCGAAAATGACACATAAAGAAACCTGAAATTATAAAATGCCAAAATGGGAAGCTAAGCAAATGTATTACCAGGTAGGGAAGTGTTGCCTGATTTGGGATTATGCAAATGCTGGGCAATTACTAAAAAACCTTTCTGCCAGTCAGAGTTTGAAAGCAGAGAGAGAGGCGCAAACTGCCACTCGTGCTTCCTGGTTTCTCACTTCCACCATCTTCGTTTATGCCCTAAAAACGCCAGCAAGTTGGATAGTTGATGACCCCGAAATAGTGTGTGCGTAAGACAGCAGAGGAGTTCGAAGTGGAAGGGTGTGCTATTTGAAGGGCGAACATGGTCGCGTTGGTGTGATTGTGTGGAAGGACGAAGGGTGGCGCGTGGTGATTCACCATTGTAGTTAACAAGCATCAGCGGCATTTCACTAAGGTAAGTTTAGGCATTTAAGTTTCGTGCTGTGGTCGACGTTTCTGGGTGAGTGGTGGAAGCAATGATTAGGCAATATTTAGATATGACGCGATGAAGTTTGTGAATGACAGGAATGGTGATTAAGGGTTTATGCTGAGTTTGTGTGGCATGCTAATTGTTTACTATAACGAAGTTGAGAACTGTGAGGTTAGGGGAAAATGGGTTTCCAAATCAGTAGGAAAATTATCTGATTAAGTGGAAAGATTATATGAAAGAATTGGAAATGACAATAACATACTGGTAAATGACAATGAAGGAACCTGAAATGACCATATGCATAGTAATGACCTTGTTGTCTGATTGACCGGAAAGATTATATGAACGAAGTGGAAATGACAGTAACATACTGGTAAATGACTATAGAGGAACATGAAATGATCATATTCAAAGTAATGACCTTACTGTCTGATTGACTGGAAAGATTATATGAATGAACTAGAAATGACAATAACATACTGGTAAATGACAATGAATTAATTGGAAACGACCATATGCATAGTAATGACCTTGTCGTCAGTCTGTAATGGCCATATTAGTAATGACAATAAATTAATTGGAAATGACCATATTCATAGTAGCATCCTTATTGTCAGTCTGTAATGGCCATATTGTAAATGACAATGAAGGAACTGGAAATGACCATAATATACCTGGAAAGAACTAGATATTTAGTATTTGTATAACAATTATGACTTAATGATCATACATTGATGACTTTGCAGAACTATACGAGATGGTATTGGAAGAAGGGGAAGGGTCCAAAAGCAAAGGAGTACATAGTGGGCTTATGTTGTTTCACTTGAAGTTAACTTGCCCTTAATTTGTCGCTTTGAGGTTATTCCAAAAATTAACCGAATTAATGCAATATAGTGCACAATCCGAGTCGTATTCACTTTGAGGAGCCAAAAATGAAATTAAATCCTAGTAAATAAATGCAAGTAGTCTAAACTATAAAAAAGGATTTTTGATTTTGAGGAATTGCTAACTAAATGCCTTGAATTAAATTGAAGTTAAAATACCTTTTTTTGTGTGTTATTTTTATATAAAAATGATTGAAATAAACGAAGATGAAAAAAATGAAAATGAGCACATGAATAACAATGATAAAAATTAATCCTCCAATTCAACAACACAGGCAATCATCACTCTAAAAGATGTGGGAGTTAAAACAATGAATTAAGAATCATAATTAAGCTTTTAATTCAACAACCGAGCCACCTCGAGTTG